CGGGAAATCTTAAAGGAGTTAAAGTAGGGAGTTTAAGTAACTACGACGGCGACGGCGGGGACAACGTCGATTAAAAAATGAATGTATATTATGCCTGCTCCATGGCTACTAATTTCGCGATACTCTAAAGTCATTGTTTCTCTTTGTCAAAACTATCTCGAAACTGATCATGGAACACAGCGTAAAATTCGAAATATAACTTTTGAAAATTATCCGTCGCGGTTCACGTTCTCCAGAAAACGCAGAATTTGGACATTTCACGTTGTTATTTTTCGTTGGATGGCAAAGAAATGTACCAAGAATTATAACGCACGTGCACAGCCACTATTCTTCTCATTGACCGTTTTGTTTAGCGACGTTCATCTTCCTATTACCGTTGCCGTTTTCTTAAATTCCCTAATTCAACCAGGGGCCCAGCTAGGGGGGGTGGCTGGGGTGCCCGTGGACCCCCCCCCCTTTGTAAGCCTTTTTTAAGCAAACAACCCACAACAGGTGGCAAAAACGACATGACAATCCGGTGAATACCCTGACTTTGACACAGTGTGACCCCCCTTTAAAAAATCCTGGCTACGCCCCTGTCAACAAGAGCCAAACGCGGGAAAGCCTACCAACGACTAAAATGAACTTGCAACTACTTCGCTTTTTTCCTATACTGATTTATTTTCTGGTTTAATTGTGTTTCATTGGGAAAAAATTAACATAATGAATGACTGTATACTTATCTCGTTTGTTAGTTGCAATCTTAAACCAGGTAGTTAGTTTAAAAAACTGTTGTATATAATATTCAAAAGTTTTCATTATGTACATAGAAGCCGTTGGTGTATTTTAGATGCGAGCAGCACAAGTGAATAGTTTCAGTTGTAGTTTAAAAATGTCAATCGGGTCTCTTTATATTGAAATTTACAGTTTAAAGTAAGACAACGGTTACAAAGTGTTCACCGACAACTCGTTATCTTGATTAAATAAATCAACCACCGGATTATGGCAGAACACGGAGAAATCTCCCTCTCATATTCTGTTAGAGTTTTTTACTGTTTTTAAGTTTATTAAAATGTTAGCTCCTGTACTCGGAAAATTGCCCAGTATAACATTCCCACGGTTGAAATAACCATAGCTTTCAACGTTTTCGTTGGAGCTGGCAAACGTTACACGAAGTGGAAACAAGTGAAGCGTAAGCATAAGGCGACATACGTAGACGCAGTAAGTTGATAATTGGCGCCTTTTGTTAGGAAAATTTCCAACGAAAGGCGCTAATTATCGGCATCGTACTGTTTATCAGCATTTTACTACTTCTGCGTATGTCGGCTTATGCACTAGTGAGAACCACTGAGCCTTAAGGCTTTTCGCAATGGTTGCGGCGACGGTACAACGTGTTACACCGCAGCAACGTCTTTGTCGTCGTCTTCGAGCGTGTACTTCGCAACAAAATTGCACTTTGTACGAAGCATCGCCTGGTGACATGTCTGGTGTAACAACGCCTTTGTATTGCCCCTGTGTACTCGTTGAACTTCTATTTGGGGTCTTTTGTCAGCATACTGCTTAGAAGGCCCAGCACCAACGTTCGCTCCATTTCGGAGTCTGTCTGGTAAAGCCTTTTATTGTCAGCATAAGATAAACTGTAACTCAACAAGCTAACAGATTAATTATCTGATTAATTATTAAAAGTGAAATGTTGTCACGAGCGTGGGACAAAGAAAAAATCTGAGTCCCCGACAGGATTACTCAACGAGAACAAACCTCGGTCATAGGACTGTGTGTTCTTTTCAAGTAGAACTCACATGGCCATGCACCTGTGAAGCATCCACACAAAGGTCAGGGAACCCCAATACTGAGCATGCTACAACATTCATCAAATATGTAGATGATTTATAACATAAGGAGAATTTCAGAAGTACTTATGTCGATGAAGCTCTGGTCAATACACAAATCGTCAGTAAATTGGATGATAAGCTAATGCTTAACAGCATCTGGACACAAGTTAGCACTGCTAACACATGGAGGGATGCAAGCTAGTCTATTGCAAGTTCCTTCTCCTAAATTTTGGCATGTTTCCCTAATAGGTCCCCAGCACCCTTTTATTCTTCTATATAGAGAGAGAGACACTGCAAGAGTACACTGTCTTACCCAAGACCACAACACAGTCCCAACAAACAGAGTGCAAATCCAGACCAGTCTTTTAGCCAGATGGGTGTCCAGGCATCCTGTGGACGGCCACTTCCCAAAGAAAATTGTTTCATTTTTCATATACGTATCTTATTAGATGTTTTGGTGTGTATTATCGCTGTATATTTTTACAAGTTCTGCCATATTTTGACGAGCCGTATGGGCCTGTACAGCAAACAGGTTTCCTACTGTACAAATAACTGTACAATATCGCCGTATAACTGTACTGTTATTTGGACGGTATTCACTGCGGTTGGATAATAAGTTGCCTTATAAATTACTCATTTGAGCATGCCCTGTAGCACATTTTGGATGTCCACTTTTCAAATCTTGGCTAAGAGCCTGACCCTGACTGATCATTCCAGTACCATTCACTCCAGAGTCCAGTAACCCTAGAATGCAGCTTAACTTTAAGATTGCGCTTAATCAAGCTATAAGGGTAGTGAAAACAGAAATGCCCCACCACCAAAGTAAGCATAATGTTGACCTACATGGGTTGAAATCCTGTTCAAGCCCGAGTTTCTTTCAAGTTTTATTTACAAAATGCTGACGTTGCATACAGAACTGCAGTGATCTACCATATATCTATTTCATTGAGCTCAATGATTGCCAGCTGTTGTTCAGGAGGAACAGAACCCAGAGTCAAGAAAGTGGTGGAAATTTAGCCTAGTATTTCAGCATTTCTGCTATGTTGTGTATTCTGACAAATTAACAGGATTTAGCTGTCAATGTTCTATGATTTATTCCCGGAGTATCTAATTTTGTTTGATTGTCGACCGTTCGGCAATTGAACATTCGATTTTGTTTGATTGACCAAATTTTAGTGTGAGTTTGATTATGTTCGATTACCGACCCCAGTTGAGTGATTGGTGATCAATTCAGTTTGATTACCAAACATTCGATTAGATATGCCAGGTTAATTGCAACATTTGTGTCATTTTTAGTGAACACAGATCCCCAAGGTCACTCCAAGAAATGGATATTTTTTGTCAATGCTAATAAAAACCTTGCAAGTTAAGTTTAGCCACTCACCGAAGTTTCAGCCTCTAAAATGCAGGTTTTCCTTATGAAATTCGTCTCCAAAGAAGCCCAAAATTCGAACATCGCTGCCGCCATTTTGAACAGTACTCAGCAGCCAGGCTGCATTTTCATGACGTCATTCCGTCCAAGAGATTTTGTCCAAATGGCTTCCAAAGAGCCATTTTAACTACCACTCTGGGTTATGGCTGTTCTTGAGCCATATTATTTTGAGCCAAACATGCTCAAAACTCCGAAATGATAGTCTTGAAGATAGTGAAGTGGATAATCGCTTGGGAAAAAAAAAAAGATTTTGCTGACCTGCAGGTTTTTCTCCTTCCTGCCAATTTTGAGTCAGACGGAATGATGTCACATAAACACGGCCTGGCTGCCAAGACAGTTTCAAAATGACGGCCTCTGAAATCACTTCTTTCGAGAGGAATTTCTTCAGGATAGCAGGCACTTCAGAGGCTGAAACTTCAGTGAGTGGAAAAGCTGAATGTCTACTTGCTATAGATGAAGACAAAAAAAAGTAATCTTTATGGAGTGACCATCTCCTTTAAAAGATTTTTGAACTCTACTTTTCACTGTTTGGTAGATCTAAGATAATACTGGCAAGGATGATCGAGGTGACTCATTAGTGGTGATGCATTGAGTGACATGTATTGTCATTCGTTGAAGTAAAATTCCCAAGTTAAACGTCAAAAAAAACATATTCTGTAGTACAAGAAATCCAATTTCTCTTTCTTCTTTGTTGTTCCTTTTTGTGAACAGGTCATCCATTTCATTAAAAAAACAGTCTCCTACCTCCATGAAACATACGTTAAGCCTACTTTTCTTCAGTTCAACCAAACGTCAGTGTGTTTACAAAACACTCCACTCAAACACACACCTGGGCTGGACGATTAATTTGAACATTTTGCCGCCGTCTTTGCAGTCGACAATAAATTCTATTAATTGCTTCCCTTTTTGAAGACTCTGTTCCTTCTCAACTTCACCCATGCTCTCCACTGAAACATTTCCCTGTACGTCTTCAGTGAGAAATATAATGTACCCATAACTGTGAACGTGCCAAAACAATAACCCACAACGGTCCACACATCTACAAGACGATTAACACGCTGTACATCGGGCCATACATCAACATCTGCCATGTTCTTCACTTTACTGGCTGCACCACCAAGAACATTCACGTAAGACAACAGAACACTTCCATTCGTCTTGCCTTCTTCTTCAAGCACGCCTTCGAGAAAGCCCTTATCTTCGTCCTCCATTTTGGATTTATGCAGATGCGAGAGACTAGAACCGAATCCCTTGGCACGCATTGGGAAAGTACGCGCGCAATGTCCGCGCAGGGCGGAAAAAGAATAACGCTCCGCCACGCGCGTCGCGGCTAAAAAAACTCAGAAAGGTCTGTTGTATTTCACTACTACAGTTTCAGGTGCTATAAAAATATTAGCTTGGCTGATCATAGTCTATCCACAGACGTTTTTTTTTTTTTTCTGCGAGTGTTTTTTTTGTTTTCGAGCGCGAGGGTGACCGCAAAGTGGGCGAAAAATTGTGTGTCACGGATTCAGATGTTTTATTTTTGTCTTAAGATAACTGAACCCACTAACGAACTGTACATGTTAAAGATAATTTATTTAAAATTTTTCATCTGGAATGCGAGGGTTATGCCATTAAATTTTGACACAAGCACATAAGTTTTAGGTGTATTCCATCCCTATTGCAAGTGCTAATTATAAGCTAACATTCGAACATTTCCACCTTATGGTAACGGTAGCTTACGTCGCTTATACTAAACTAAACAGCGTTTTTTTATATACTTTTTTACAAAATACTCTTCACGTAAGTGTCATGCAATGTGCAAGGCGTGACAACGTTCAAAGAGCACTTTGATATTTGTTACGTGCTTTCACGTGATTTTCCCGATCTCAGCAAGTCTTTCCTAGTCGATTGCTACAGATGTATCAATATAAACACAA